ATAAGGAAGTATTTAGTAAGTCACCCACCTATGGATTTTAACCCATTCCTGCCTGCATATTGCATAGTTTGGTCAGTCTGGTCAGTCTAAAAGCAGCTGCTATCGTAGCCATAGGCTCTTTGAGTCTCCCTTGATGTGGTATTTCCAAACTACCATATAACACTAACTCACTAACTTTCCCCCCCTCTCTTGTCTTGTGACTCAGGAGACACAGGAGACCTCAGCTACTCCCCATACTCTTCTCACTTTCAGATGAAGGTAAGTTCATGCCCTCCTTCACCCATTTCACCACATGTAGGCTATTGCTCAGGCACTGAAGGGAAGGGAAGGAGAAGGGGCAAAGACAGATGGATCTAGAGCAGGCTCTGTGGAGGCAGGCAGGTGCTTCACATGGAACCAGGTGATACCATGACACATGTTCATGGAGGTGCCTGTGGCTGGGGGAAGGGAGCTGTGACATGTCCAGGGACATGGGGAGGTAAGAGGGGCCCAAGACAAAGTCTGAGGTTGTGGTTTTCAATACTTCTGGATTTAACATCACATAAGAAGTCCTTTCTTTGATCACAGTTCCTGCAGTAGACTGTGCCCTTTCCTCAGAAGGTCATGCTTCTTTCCCCAGCCCGTGCCCTGAATGTGTTCCCACCAGCAGTCACTGGAAGTTGCAGTGCAGATCCAGAGTGGGCAGTCTGCATGTCCCCATGTCCATTCACCAGTCCTCCTTCAGACCACAGCCTAGACAGCTTTAGTAGCTCACATCATGTCCCCACAAGTCCTCTGGTGACATGTCTTCCTTACTGCTCTGTTCTGCCAGGATCCTCTTCCACAGCCCCATTGATCACACTCTCAGGAAACCTTCAGCTCATTTCTCCCTCTCCTGTTTTGTTTTTTTTTAAGCCCTATTCTATTACTTCTCTCCAGTTTTGAAAGGTAAAGACTTTCTTGCTTCCTTTTCAGACCATTAAACCCCAAAATGATTTCTCCATCCCTCGGCCCAAGGCCCGGACAAGCCCATACCATGACTACAGCGGTGGGAAAGGCCCCATGTAGCAGTTCCGCAGGGAGCAAAGAGACTAAGCGCCCTTCAGCAGAGGCATGGGGAATGGGCCACGTGGTGACAAGTGAGTCGATCCTGCAGAAGAGACAGAGCCAACCCACACTGGCAAAAGAGGAGATGGGTCCTCTTTTCCCCGCACAGGCGCCCTTCTAGCCCCCCTCATTCCTCAAACACCGCTTTTAGACACCGCTCTGGCCATCCTGTCCCCGCTCACTCCATTTCTCCGTGGGATGGAGCTCATCTCTTCTGACAGAGGAACGTGCTAGGAAGAGCCTGGCCTGGCCTATTTTCGGCAGGATAGAGCTAGAGCAGCAGGAAGATCATCAGCCGGGTCTGCAACTGGCTCTGTCCCAGCCAGGACTCACTTTGATCAGCTTGCGGGGATGCCTGCGCCCCACGTCTGACAGGAGAAAAGGCAGGAGCAGGAGCATCAGCCCTACACATCCCCACTCCTGCCCACCTGTGAAACATCTCAGGTACTACCGAGGACACCCTGATCTATCCACTGTTACTTTTGTGCCTACTCCCATCCCTGCCTGGCTCTCCTCCAGAGATCAGTGGAGAAGAGACAGAGAGAGAGAGAGAGAGAGAGAGAGAGAGAGATTATTCCTTTTTTCTTCTTCATGTTCACTTCCAACCCCTTCCTCATCACCTAGAGACCACAGTGGAGAAGGGGAAGAAAAAATAAAGACACAAAAACATCTACACCTATTTACCCTGACACATTTTCTGATTTGCGCTCTAGCATTAGCCTCCCTCCTAGCTCTGACTCCTGACCACGCGCCCAGCTGAGTTCCCCAGGGTGCCTGCCCAACGCCTCAAACCCTCCCTCCCCACCCCTGCCACCCTAAGCTGTGGATCCTTGCAGACAAACCTCTGCCATGCAGCTGCTTGCAATACCCTGGTGGGATCTAATCCCATGCACCTTGGAGCTCTGCCTCCTCCCTAGTGTCTGTGGCATTAACACGAACATTTCCCAAGCAGCCAGGTTACGGAGGGTGGACACCCTTCTTCCCAGGAGTGAGCGAGTGTGAACACGCGTGTGTGTGTGCATGCGTGCATGTGTGCGCTGTGTGAACTGCTCCCTGGCAATAAGCAATGAGTCTGTGGAGTTGAATCATTCTGTAGCCTGCTTTGCATTTGGTAAACAGCTTTCCATGATATTTCATATATAAATACACAGAGCTCTCCAAGTGGGTGTGTATGGTACACTGGTGTCTGACACAGCTATATATTTATTTAGTACTTTGTATGTGGAATATTTAATTAATAAAAACCCAAACAGCCTGACTACAAGAGACTGGCGTTCATCCTCAGGAATGTGATTCCTCTAATGGCTGGTGGGGTGGCAGCAACAGCTCTCCATGGGTTGGAGTGGGCCACCTGGGAGATTACAGCTGGGGGGAAAATGGCAAAGAGATGCTGCCTTCTTCAAAGCTGTCATTATGGACCAGAGATCAGCTGCTTGAGGGTACAGAAGAGAGTTAGTAGCTTCTCCATGCTACTTTTCTTGAATAAAGAAAGCTGATTCAATGTTAGAAGTGCTTAAGAAATGAAGAAATATAAACCAAATCCACAGCAAGCAAATGCAGGAGGAAGGATGTGATCTTTTTATCACTGCATGTGTCTGTGTCTGCTGGGTCTCTATTCCTGTATTTATTCACTTGTATCTTGCTGGGTACTTGCATAATCAAGAACTGGAAAGGAGCTTGTAGGTATTTAATTCAGCTTGTAAAAATATGTCTTTCTGATGTTCTGAACGCATGTAATATTTTTATTTGAAAGTAGAAACAATATCAAAGAAAAATAATTATGATGATGATGATAGCAATGATGATGATGATGGTGATGATGATGATGATGATGATGATGATGATGATGATATTTTTCAAAATGTCCTGATGGTATGAGGCTGTAATCTCCTATTTTAGAGGCTTCCTCTCCCATGAGTTTTTACATGGTATGTCATGCTACCACGTATCCATATGCTCCTGGCAAGCAAACCCCCTTCCTCAGGCACAGTGCTGTCTAGAATATGCCAGGCTGGGCCTTCCCCACTCTGCCTACCAGCACTGAAGGGCAACGCAGGGACATTTGGGTCTTCTGAATCCTTTGGCATGAGAAAGAGCCCTCCTAGGCATTGGTTTGAAATGTGTCACAGGACATCTTGCCTTTTTCTAGCAAATTTGAGGTGGAAACGATTCTTACCCTCCCCTCCACCTACACAGTTCCACACGTGTAACACACAGGATTGGAGAGAAAATTCAGGAGTGCTAATGTAACATTGGGGAGCAGATTGGGAAGCAGGTATGTGAGGTCTGACACAAGTTGTTGACTTGCAGGCTGAAGGTAGGAAGGATGTGCTTGAAACAATACCAAACTTTCAAGAAATGAGGTTTTCAAGCTGATGTGGTACCATTGATGGCTTATGTGTAGCTAGACAGGAGGAGCCAAAAATGTGCTAAATAAGACAGAGCCAGCTCCTCTGCTTCAGTGGGGTCTGGTGGAGCAAAGGCACAGGCTAACAGGAGAAATAAGAGCAAAGCGTGCTCTTACCATGTGTGTTTTTCCACATTCCACACACTTATCAACTCCTTCACTGACTGCCACAGACCAGAAAGTGCCTCCCAGATATACCTTGGCCTCAGAGGCAGCAGAACTAGGAGGGATGAGGGACACCATATGCACTCCCATCGATGCTGGGCTATTTCTTGATTACGTGTTTGTTACTGTGCATGTTGCTCGGCAGAGAGTGAAAAATCCCCTTCCGCGGATTTACAGCGTCTTTTAGAGTAATTTTTCTTAAGTAAACCATTACAGAGGTTTACTCTGTAATGACACAAATACTAATCTGCCCAGAGTTATTTTGCACTTGTTCAATATTAAGGCAGCTTTGGGTGAGGACTGATTTAAATGCCAAATTAAATACAAATTTCTGTGGAACTTGGGGCTGGTGGGAAAGGGGTGGTGCCGCTCTGCAGGTTTCTCCCACCTCAGGAGAGGCTTTTGGGAAAGCAGCAGTTTCCTCTTTC